AGGTCCATGAGTTCTTAAACTCTGTGGGGTATAAAGGGAGCATGTCAGTGCCAGCCCATTCCAACTACTGCCAAACTGTGGCAGGGTGTGCTACCTCTTTAAGGAATGGTCTGAAGCTTACAGCCAACATTGCATGGGTGCAATCAAGGAGCACCCTGCCCCACCCTGGGGGCTGGCCTATATAAACAGGAAAAGGAAGCTGAGTGAGAGAGGGGTATGGTTGTTATTACAGGGTGTAGACAGTCAGGTCATAAGCCTGGCTCCTAGATACTTTGTTTCTCTGACTGTACTTTGGTGGCTCTGAGTTAAGGGCGTTATGAAGAGGGTTAAGTGGCTCCTCGCTTGACCCAGCACTCAAAGGAAAGGGAGAAAGCCTACCTCAGTCCCAAAACAATAAGAGAACTAGGAACTCTGGTAGCTGGGTTGGTTTGGATGTATTCTTAAAGGGGACTTTTTGTTAGTTTGGTTTGGCTTCCCCCTTCTAGGATTCTGTGAACAACCCCAACTATTCAAAAATCATAAGCCAGGCCCCATTCTGAGACTGGCACAAAAATCAGGGAATTTAAAAAAAAATACATTAGAGTTTTGATCTGCCTTCTGGCTTTGAGCATTAAGGGTGACTTTTTCAAGGTTTTCTTCACAACCATGAGGACTAGAAACTTACTCTTCTTTAAAAAAATGAGACCTGAGATTCTCACCTAATCACATGTCCAGTGAGCAAAGGGCTTTCTTAAAAACACCAAATATTGTGACCCTCACAATTAAATTGTAAGAGTTGGTTATGCTACACTCTATGGAAAGAACAATCCTTCCAGTTCATTTGCATGTATTCATTTATTATTTAGATGTTTCCTGCTTAGTTAATCAGTGAGAAATGGCATCTTGCAGAAAAAATAAAGGATAGCAAAGATGTGTATTGTCAGTTGTAGTTGAGATAAGAATTTCAAGGTTTCCTTTCAAAAACTGTGAGTCATGGACTTTTTTATCAGTGTAAGAAATGAATTTGAGCAACATTTGATAAGTATTTAATTAAGGTACCAAAGAGAATTAATTATAAGTTCTTATTGCATGTGCAGCCTGAGCTATGCTTCATTTTTCTGTACAGATGACTGAAAAACATCAGACTTTTTTCCACCAGTTATCTATATACAGGGACATAGAGAAAAATTGTCAACATATTTTATCAAAAGGGGACACCTTAACGAACAAAGAGTACTTACATTCCATATATACATAATAGTGGTGTTTAAAGAAAGCATTCCAAAGAGCTTTACTCCATGGCTTTAAATGCACTGTACTCTGCTGGTTAACAAAGAGTCTGACTAGAATTATTCATATTCTTCAGTTAGCATTGCACACTTCTCAGCCAACCACAGGTCAGTTTCACCTTTGGCAGCTGTGCTCTGTCTGCAGGAGAGACAAGTACCATCTGTTGTTCAAGCTTTTGTTTCTACACTCCCAGGTGTGTATTTTGGTGCTGTGTTCACATGTGTGTGTGTGTGGTAGGGAGGGGGTTCAGATGATGATGACATTTGGGGAATGCAGCCCAAAATGTGGAAAAATATCAGTCCAGATCCTGTAGTCAGGGAGTCAGTGGGGATTTAGCTTGAGTAAGTGCTGAGTAAAGGACGGAGAATTCAGCCCATAATTTCTCAGGAAGATGAAGAGTGGTTAAAGGAATGTGTATTAATGTTAACTTGACACAATGAGGGAGAGTGAGATGATACTGTAATTTAAATTATCTACAACCCCCCCCCCCCCATGCCCAAGCATCCTCATGTACAGAGGCACAAACTAATGCATATACACACAAGTCAATCATACGTGCGCATGCCTAAAGATGTAGCCACAGTCCAACAGGTACAACACATACAGATACATGCACATGTCACCCTCTTTTTGTTTTGTTTGTCCAGTGCCTAGCTCAATGGGTCCTGGTTCATGGCTGGGACTCTTAAGTGCCACAGTAATACAAATAATAATAATACTATTCATCCATGTACACCCCAGCTGGTACATATGCATGTGTACAGAAATACATCAAATTAAAATAGAAACCAATGTAATCAAAAGATTTAACAGTGTTTAAGAAATGTTGCGAGGCTGCGAACAGCTGACAAAATGTTATGAAATTTCAAATGTTTTTATTTTGCCTGTGTTTCTCTTATCCAAATTTAATCTTCCTGAACCGCAAACATATCCAAGCTGTTTGGGCCTGATTCTGATCTCATTAATCCGAGTGTAAATCAGGTATAACTCCACTGATGTTAGTGAAGATCAGAACAGGGCCCACTCCCTTTAAGAGATGCACTAATACAATCTATACAGCTAGATAAGCACATTTTTATTTTCAAATTCACAAATACAAAACTGAAATTGCCAGATCTTGTCTGGATTCATAATCTAAAACACAGCTCCGTTCTAGTTGCAGTTCACATTTGTCCATGGGATGAGGACGTGTGTTGCCTCTGCAGATTTAAATAGAGGCCATTAGAGGGCATTTAAACTTCAGTTTTGAATAACCCTAAAAGTTTACCACTGTGAGAAAATAAAGCTCGGGCTGCCTGCAGAATAACTTTCCTTGGCTGCTCCTGCTGGAACAGCCCCTCTGTATTTGAAGATGGCCCTTTCCCAGCTTTGCGGTTCGTTTGCTGTTTTGCTGCCTTTGTTTTGGCCATGGACTTTAGGTTTTTGTGCTTGGATGGTGGCACCTCCGGAGCTTCGGAATGGGATCAACAGTGTGTGAATTCCTTGTTTGCCTGGTTGAAAAACATGCTAACCCACTGGTATTGTAGACGGAATGTAGCGATGCTAAAGAGATGCTTTCTGCTGGATAGGAACTTCATTGTTACTTTCAGAGGGAAGTATTTTCAGAGACGGGAAGGTGAATTAAAACTATCATAAGGAAGACCCCTGTTCTGATGACAATTTGAATATGTGCTGTTTATTTGTGGTGATAGCTGGATATAATGAGCTGATTGTATGTGAATAATAGAACTGTACAAATCAGAGATAAGAATTTATGGTATTAGGTGCCATCTAGTCCTTTCCCTGAAGGTCAGTACAGAATTGTTCCCTACAGTGTTTTTTCTAATGTTTGAGACAGTCAATGTCTTGGCATTAGCTGGCAAATTAAAACAAAGCAGAGCAGTATGTGTGACATTTGGGTGAAGGAGCAGCATTTTTGATGCACCCCTCACTTGTGTGTGCACAAACCTTAATGTATACACATATTCGGAGTTGGCTACAGGCATATTGGGCCTTTGAAAATCTGGCCAGCAAGAAATATATCAAGAAATCATCCCCAGAACTTGGAAAGAAGCATTCCCCTCCTTGTAGGCTGCATCTGGAGAAGTAGAAGGATTTGGGGTGGCCATACCTATTACTTGTTCTAACTTTTTGGTTTTTTATTCATACTTTAATATAGAGATTCCCAAACTTTTTCTGGGAAACTGTGCCAAGTTAAGGGACTCTGAGTCATACTTTACCAGCAAATGATTGCTTCCATTTGACTGTATCTACTCTAACCCCCATGGCGCTTGGCCTGCTTCATACTCCTGTCTTACAGTGGTGAGCAGCCAAAGCTCTATGGAAGGCACACAACTGAATGGAAGGCAGACCCAGCATAGAGACTCATCCCAAGATGGAGAGGGGATCCTAGAGTACCAATTGCAGAGGCCTGAAGCACCGGTGCAGCTGTGAATACTGCCCCAGAGTTTGGGAAGGCATTCACTGCTTTAGAGCACGCATCCGGGATAATCCGAGCCAGACATTCCCATGGGCAATGCTGATAGCCGGATATTCCATATGGGACCCTAACACAGACAGAGGAGAGGCTGAGATCCGCTAACCTTTAATAATGCTTTTAAATCCATGTACAGGGAATTGCACTCTACAGCACTCTCGGGGCCTGATCCAAAGCCCACTGACATCAATGGGAGTCTGTCCATCGACTTCAGCGAGCCTTGGAGCCAGCCCGGAGCGCCGAGCACATTTGTGTCTGAAGATCCAGCTTTACTGTGCCCTCCTTGCCTCCCCTACTGCAGTGACTGCTCCATCTGAGCATTTCCTGGGGGATCCCGGCACTCCTAAGAGATCCCCTCACACAAGGGGTAGCCAGAACCTGCCTGAGAGTGACAGCCCCAGGCAGCACGTGCAAAGCTAACCCCAGACTAACCCCATTGCTTAATTCTGAATGATAAAAACCTACTTGGAAAAGCAGCGACAGCCTGGCCTGCCGGGGCATTATAATGACTCTCCCGCAGAGGGGATCATGCATGATCCCATGAGTGACTGTACCCACACAGCATCATTTGCAAGGGACATACTACAACAGCGGTCACAAGCTGGCAATAAGCTTACGTTGCCACTGCACGGTTTAAAATACACGTGGCAGGATTTCCCCACATTGTCTAGAGAAACCGTAATGGGCACGAGCAAGGGGGCAGGGATCTTGTTCCAGATTCTTCATCCTCCTTTGCAGCTGAAGTCAGTCAGTTCTTCCCTAGCTTCATTGGGGGTAGAACACCCGTTTCTGCTGCAACCATAGCGACCTGGGCTTGGGTCAATCTGGCTGCTGGGATGAAGTCTTGACACCAAAATCTGAACAGTGTGGGCGGGGCTACAAACGACCTCTTCTTGCCCTCTGGAAAGACAGAGCAGACAGTGTAACTTTTCTCTTACCCACTGACACTGTACAGCCAACCCGGAGACTAAAGCATCTTAGAATTGTTTCTCTAGTGTCACTAACAGTGACATGTCCTCAAACATGAGTGAGAATGACCTGTGCAGCGAGAGAGGAATCTCTCATGGCGTTCTAACCGGACATGACTGCTGTGCTTTAAGGCAACTTCAGTGACATCAAAGATTACCTGGGTTTCTTATCCGGCAATCATCCTGGGAGTCGGAATACTATTTTCTTCAAAGGTAGATGATGTCTGGGATGGCCCATTGATACTGGTTAGTACCTATGCCTAGAGTCAGGCTTCCCCGTCCCCGCCACATGTGTGTCAGAACGAACTCCATTTAACACAGGCAGACAGACCTACGTTTGCTCCAGGCTGCTGCCTGCCTTTTCTTTCTGTACCCACCAAATATGCGCCCCCAGTCTTGCACCTGAAAAATGAATTGCAGGCACTAGTCTGAGCATTTGCCCCTCTAACTACTTGATTTGTGTTTGCAATGCAATTGCAGACATAGAAGTGGGGGTGCAAATTCCTCCCATAAAGGGAGAGAGCCCCTTTGGAAATTTGGCCCACAAAATGTAAAGAGAAGTCAACAGGGGAAGGGTGGGGGAGGGTTATACACCATTAAGTCTATGTAAGGGCTTTTCTAAACACAAAAGTTGTACTGCTTTAGCTATACTGCTCCCCCAGTGTGGATGCACCTATATCAGTATAAAGGTGCTATATACTGGGATAGCCATGCCCAGACAGGAAGGGGAATATGTTCTGCTGCTGTAAGGCATCTTTATATTGGTATAAGTGTGCCCACACTAGGGGTTGCACCAGTAGAACTATACTATACGCCTGATTATACGAATAGCATGGAGGACATGGATTTTATTCAGATAATCGGGAGTTCAGCTAGTTGACAGAGCAGGAGCCATTCAGCAGCAAGAAGGCCTCCCCAGCAGCTGGTGGCTCATCCTCCTCCTCTTCCTCGCTATCCTGTCCTGAGAGGGAGGGGGGGTTCTGCTCTGCCCTGCTCACTCCCAGGGCTGCGGGACTGCAGAGGGCTCCCTATGATCCTTGGGGGGAGAGGGAGGCTAGGGCTACATCTACACTACAGGGGGGGGTCGATTTAAGATACGCAAATTCAGCTACGTGAATAGCGTAGCTGAATTCGACGTAGCGCAGCCGACTTACCCCGCTGTAGGGACGGCGGCAAAATCGACCTCTGCGGCTTCCTGTCGACGGCGCTTACTCCCACCTCCGCTGGTGGAGTAAGAGCGTTGATTTGGGGATCGATTGTCGCGTCCCAACGGGACGCGATAAATCAATCCCCGAGAGGTTGATTTCTACCCGCCGATTCAGGCGGGTAGTGTAGACCTAGCCTGTGGTCCTGGTGAGGCAGAGCAGAGACACCCAGCCAGGACTGTGCCCTGCCCTACCAGGACTGCAGCTTCCCTTATGCCTGCAGGTATCGGGCATCGCGAGCCCCATAGAGCACAGGGCGCCCTCCACAGTCCCGCTGGCACAGGAGGGAATGAGTGGGGCCATTAGGGCAGGGCTGCAGAGGGCTCCCTGCGCTGCCGGAGGAGCCATTCAACAGCAGGGCAGCCTCCCGCGGGGCCAGGGGCTTGTGCTCCTCTTCCTCATCACAGTCCTGGCCAGGAGATCTCTGGTGTATTATCCAAACCTCCGCATTATCCAAGTCCCTTCCTTGTTCGTCAGTGGTTCTCAACCTGGGCATGTAAGTCAGTGGTTCTCAACCTGGGGTACGTGTACCACTGGGGGTCTGCAGAGGTCTTCCTGGGGGCACATCAACTCATCTAGATATTTGCCTAGTTTTACAACATACATAAAAAGCTCTAGCCAAGAACGAACAAACTAAAATTTCATACAGACAATGACTTGTTTATACTGCTCTATATACCATACACTGAAATGTAAGTACAATATTTATATTCCACTTGATTTAGTTTATAATTATATGGTAAAAATGAGAAAGTGAGCAATTTTTCAGCAATAGTGTGCTGTGACACATTTGTATTTTTATGTCTGATTTTGTAAGCAAGTAGTTTTTAAATGAGGTGAAACTTGGGGATATGTGAGACAAATCAGACTCCTGAAAGGGGTACAGTAGTCTGGAAAGGTTGAGAGCCACTGATGTATGTCATGCTAGGGGACAAGGAAGGAATTCAGATAATGCAGAGGTTTGGATAATAGGATTTCGGATAAACAGCAGTATACTGTATATTGGTAACCCTCCCCACAACTGACTTAGTTAGACCAGTACAAAAATCATTGGGTAGAGCAATCCTTAGTGTGAAGGTAACTTACCCTGTAGGATGGTGACAGCTAACGCTACACACAGGAGGTGTTAAAAGGATCCCGATAAAGAAGGAAAGGCCCACAATGGCACATTAATTTGTCATTTCAAACTGCCAAGTGAACGTCACAGACATTCTTTAAGAGGTTCATAGTTTAATAAAAACCTCTATTATTCCTGGGATCAAACTGGCTTTGGCTCAGTCCCGATTTGATGTAGATGACACTGATAGTAAGGGGAAATCATCAGGGGACCGGGGGAGTTGTGAACGCACCTTCAGTCAGAGGGTATGTCCAGGCTTTGCCAATTCCATTAGCAGTCGCTGGGTCATGTTGGACCCATCACTGCTCTTGGAGTCACATAGTTAGTGGGGCAAAAACTCAGGTTTGCACCACTCAATTTAGTTTCAGGTTTGGATTTTCTAGCTGCAGTTTGTGCCTGCAGAAAGGAGAAAGCCTTTCTGAGAAGCTCACCCAGGCACACAGCTAGCTGGTGAGTGGTATGTGTGTACACAGGCGGCTAAGAGAGTTACTGTGATCCTTACGTCAGTGTGGTGGTTAGGATTTCCTTTTTCTATAAAATCTGTTGCCAACTATAGACCTGCTAGCAGTGTTTTACTGGCTGAAGTCTAACACTTACTGTATTAGATGTTCCTGGGAGAGCCTGGCAGGGTCTGAGCATGCACAAACGTTGGTGAGTTTCGAGCCTGCAGTACCGATTCTGGTTTGACACCCGTGTCGAAATCCCCATGCCACAGGTTGCAGAGCAGGCACTCCACTCTGTGCTCCATTCTTCACAGAGGTAGGAAAAACTTGTTGATGCTGTCCCAGGCGGCCTAAGCACTGCACAAGGAAGAGGCATGGAAAGAGACTTTTAAGCCACACATGAATGTACTTTGCTCTTGGCCAGTGGTACGAATCCAGCCCAGGCTGGTAGTGACCAAGGAGCGCCTGCAGTCTGTGAAATGAGTTGCGGGTGGGGTTTCTCCTTTTGATGTCCAGAAGTTGATGAGTGAATGGGCCAGGTAGACTGATCTGTCATCTCACCCTTAGAGGGCTCCCTCCAGAACAAAGATAAAGCATTTTTAGATACTGGTGCTTAGTTGTTCACTGTTGCAGGTTACACAATGTAAGGAACCCAATTGCAAGAACAGGTTCCATTTGGTTTAACCTTTTCAGTGGTGAATGTACCTTCCAGGGCTGCTACTTTACCTACATTATATTATATAATTGTACCAGGGCACTCAGGACTTTACCTGGCTTGGCATCCTGAAGGAAGTGACTGTCTCGCCTCTCACAGATCCATTCCTGACAGCACTTCCCTGGGACCTCCACACGCCTCGGATGGGGACAGTCCGGAGTGGGCAGGCGGACATCCTCGCTGCAGAGGGGTACACAGGTGAAGCCTCCGTCTGAGCAGCGGCACTGGATCTTACAGCTGGGCTGGAACACCTCACCGTCTCGATAGACCTTTCCATTCACCTCGCAGCTGTCGTCTTCCTCCTCAACTGCAATCAACATCCAGAGTAACCCAACAGTAACAAAGCGACCAATCAAACGCAGAGAAGGACTTAGGTGCCACTGAGGGCAAACATACAATCATTACAAAGGTGAATCGGTCATTTGTGGGCTCAACTTAGGGCCTGGTCCAAAGCCTACTGAAACCAGAGCGTCTTTCCATTAACTCCAAAGGGCTTTGCATCTGGTCCAGAATCGCCAGGTGAAGGAGGTAACCGACCAGATTATCCAGGTGTTGGCTTTGCTGGGGCTATGATAAGCTACAGTGTCTATCTATCTCCTCATACCAGGTATTGAGTTTTTCTCCTGGCTCAGGGGTGGTGATAACAATGTAAGTGCCTAGACAAAGAGAAGTAGCTGAATTCTCTCTGTGGTCCACCATGCATGCCTATGCACTGGATACAAATGTTAAATAAGAATAGAGCTGGTCTAATAGTGACATCATTTATTTTCAAATAAACCTTTTCGTGCGAAGAATTCCTGGATTAATTATTTAAAGGATATCATTTGTCCCTCTGCAGAACTGGTGAGAGAATGAAAACAATGACGTGTGCTTAATTCTGAGACAAATGCCAAAATGTGTCGGAGAATTTATTCACGATGAATCATTGGACCAGCACTAGCTAATAAATAAATAATAACCGTCAGCACATTCCACAGGGACATTCAAAGTCCAGCCTTCTTTGTAGTCTCAGCTGCCAGGTGGTAGCAGCCAGCCACTGGGGCAGCTCACCAGGATCCCTCATCAGAGGCTGAGCTCATTCTGTGTGCATCCAGCCCATTTCCTCTGCTGAGCCTGGAACCTGGACCCTCATGGGCCACAGGCAGCGGCTCTTGTAGGGGATTCCTCACTGGAGCAAGACAACAGGAGTCTTGCTGCGTTTCTCTTGAGTGGGAGTCGCTCGCAATATGATCGACACACTGAATGTAAAGCTCTCAGGCTGCTGCCTCCCTGTCCTGGATGGAGTCAGAACCCCAAAGACTTCCTCTTGGGGCAAGTCTACAGTACAAAATTAAGTCGACCTAAGTTACATCGATGTACAGCCACTGCAGTAATTGAACCGCTTTTGCATGTCCGCACTTCACTCCTTGTGTTGGCGGTATGCGTCCTCACCAGGAGCGTTTGTGCCCCTTTAACTGTCAGTGCGGGGCATTGTGGGATGGCTTCTAAAGGCCGCGACAGTTGATGTAAGCAACACAATGTTACACTGACACCATGTCAACCTAACTACATTGACCGAAGTGCTACACCTCTCGCAGGGGAGGCCTTAGTAAGTTGGTGTCGTGGGCAAGTTACATCGGTGGGAGAGACATTTTAGGGTAGACACTTACAGAGTTAGGTCAATGTAAGCTGCCTTACATCAACCTACATTTGTACTGTAGTGTAAACTAGGCCTTGAAAGTGGTGCTGGCTGTGCCAGCTTCCCCTGGATGGAAAGTACTTTTGAGGAGCAGCAGCCACGTGGTCCCATAGCCCATGTGCTTTGAAGGTCTCATTTGAGAAGACAGAAGGGGAGCAGATATAGGACGGGGCCCTATTCTCATTGCCTGCTGTCTGGTGTGTCATCGGCAGGAAAAATGTACCTTGGCAGAGATGTACCCTGTGTAGGATCGTAGGAAGCTGTGTTCTTGCCTGAGAGAGTCCTGAAGGGATAAACTAAGATTGAATTGGACTGAAGGCCACTGAGAGAGTGACTGAAGAGTGGTCTGTGTGTGTGTGAGAGAGGGCGACAGACAGAAAGAGGGAGAGAGAAGAGCTTCTCAATAGAGTCTATTGCTTCTCTTCCATAGGGGTCCCATCCTCCTTCCCAATCTTCTTGCCTACTTCCTTGTGAATTGCTCAGAGAAGAGGTTCATCAGCCTGCAAGAGAACCACTGACTCTTTACTTTGCAAATGTCCTTCATGTCTGCAAAGTTTTAGGACTGCGACAGCCCCACTGCCCGCTAGCACAGCACAGAGCCCAGTGGTATGGGAGCTTAGGTACTATGGTTTTGAGCATCCCAGAAATACCTAAAAAAGACAGGTAAGTCCTCCAAACTAGCAGCAACTACCATTTCTTGGGAACCCGCTGAAGGAAGTGAATCTGTTGCCCATTAGCTCTTGTAACCCGGGGAAGGTTTGATGTTTGTTCAGCTCACATCCCTGTCAGCTGACCTGAGCTCTCTCAGGAGGACAGGAACTCAAGGAGTGTTTGTTGAGTTTGTTTACGCTCCTGACAGCTAATGTGAGAACTCCAGAGAGAACAGAAGTTGATGACATGGCATAAAACTCAGTCCATGTTCTGTGTCTGTTCCCTGCGCTGAGGTCAGAGCCTTTGTTTAACAGGCCTGGTTGGGGGATTAAATGTTGGATCTGGGGCTCCATATAAGCATGTTCCAGATACACTTCAGCCCGCTCTATCCTGGGACAGTTGTTTTCTTTGCTAGCTCTGTGGGTTGGTCAATACTGGCGACATTTCCCTCAAAATTCTAACTGGCTTTGAAACCAGGTCAGCAAAACCATCTTACAAACTGGTTTGAGCCACAGCACAGAGCAGACACCAGGCGTCCAGAACCACTTTTTATTAACCACTCCTCTGAGAGCGGGTCAGGCTGCCTGGGCTGGCTGCAGGTCCCAACAGTTTTAGGATGGGGTTAGCTGAACAGGCTGGGATTTGGGGGAACCATTTCCCCGGTGTCAGCCAGGCCTTAATGAAAAGAGTGAGAGGAATGTGCTCACAGTTGCAGGTTCCTCCTCTCCCCAGGTGGTCATCACTGTAATCACAGATGAGGCCCTGGCTCCGATCACACACATTGAGGTGATTGCAGGGCTCTCCCAGGCGTCGCGCGCATATCCTGCAGCAGCCGCAGCCGTCCAGAACCAGAGGGGCGCCGGGAGGGCAGCGGGGTGGGATCCAGGGGCAGTAGCATGGTGTCCGGCAGAGCTGAGTACAGACCTGCAGAGGCAAAACCATAAGTGCTCACACAGGGTTTTTCCTCAGCTTGCTGCTGCAACCTTACAGTGAACCCCACTGAGTTCACCTCAGGCTTGCTGGGGGGTTAGTTTCATGGGGGGCAGGGTTTTGTTCCCAGCATGACTCAGGAGACTCTGTATTCCACAGAGAGGCTTCAAGATAGATCTGAAAACAACTGTTCCTATGATACCACAAGATTCTGAGCATCTTCAGCCCCCCCAGAAACCAATGAGAATCAAGGATGTTCAGCACCCCACAGGATTAAGCCCTAGATTAGAAGTTACTCAGAATGAACTGCGGGGGGCACCCTATGTACTGGTCCAGTTTTGATTTAACAAACCAATGAGAATTGGTCTTACTGCATTGTCTCTTATTTCCTCCAATACCTGAGTCTCCCTCTCTTTCCCCCTAACCTTAATGACAGTGAGGCCTTTGGAAAGTCACATAACGGCTTCGTGCCTCAGTTTCCCCATTGGTAAAATGAGGTTGATAATACTGACCTGCCCTGGAACTGGGGTTTGAGTTAATTATTTTTACACAGTACTTTGAAAATGTAAAGTACTAGGTAAGCATTAAGTATTGTTACCATTTTGGTACTTTAACGGGAGTTTAGCCAGAGAACAGGCGATAAGGACGAACAGAAACTGAGTCACAGTCTCAGGACTTGGCTCAACAACAATTATATACACCGACACAGTGTGGTGGTGCAAAAAATGATGCAGGTGTTAGACCACACCTCCTAAGTGTGTTACATTGTTAATAGGCTGTGCCAGTCGGTACTTTTGTGTAATTTTGTGGAGCAGTTAAAATGTGAGTTATTGACATACAATAGTACATTGCAACAGCTTCCCTACAGGCATTACATCGTATCAGAGCAGTGGGACTTCTTACCATATTCTATGGGTACCCAAAATTAGGCATGCTTAATCAAATGAGTGAAACCAAGTAAGCGTCACTACTTCTCGCTTTGGCCCATAATGTGTCCTTAGTGATGCTCTGAGCCCCAGCTGCTGTGGCCTCTGCACCAATTTGGCCAGATGTGCAAGTGGCACACTTGGCTGAAATTTTCAAACAATGGGCGCTTAGTTGCGCTTGGAAAATATAGCTGCTCAGATAGAATGGATAATTGCTTAGGAAAGTTTGTGCACAAATGCCTGTTTGCATGGACAGTCAGCTGATTTGCAGTGCAGTGACCTGCAGGAGTTTAGGTAGGTAGATAGATATAAATATTGATTATCCATTCTGCATGCACAATTACCTGTGTGCAAATATATTTTGCAGACACAGGAAGGGCCCTGTTTGCAAATCTGGCTGTGAATATTGATATGTTATCACAGAAAAAATATCAGTAGCTTTCCATTTGTATTTTTCAAGTGAATTCATTGCTGGTGAAAGATGCTGGATTGATAGCCCCCTTGTGTACAACATGAACAGCAGCAGAGTAAATTTCCTATGAACGCACACTGCCCCTACCAGTGTGCCATGCATTCCTGCCTACTAAATGAAGCCAGAGCAGAGTTCAGTCTCCATGCTGATTCAGACCTTGGCTTCTCTGCTGAGACTGACAATGAGGGGAGCAATCCGTGGATTCCACAGGAATGTTCATATTAATCATCATCTTCCTTTCCCTCTTTCATTAGCAGCATGTCTCATAGCAACACTCTCCCATTCTGCAGCCTATACCTGGACAGAATGGATCTTGGTGCTGCTGTTTATTTTCCTCATTGGCGTCAGTGCAACTCACACGATGATCCTTTATCTCCCTGTAGTAACTTCAGTGGCAGGCACGAGAGTCAAATGTATCCCAGATAGCTAGCACAATCCCTTCTTTAATACACTTTTATTATTGAATTATGTTATTACGGAGACAAAAAGTGTAGTGAGATTTACAGGAATAAGCATAGGTACAATACCTACAGTTACACTGGCTAGGATGAAATAACAAGGGCTATCAATCATCATTCTTCAGGAAATAAGTTGAGAGCTACAAGGGTCAGGAAGAAATTTTTCTTCATGTACAGCTTTGGCCAGATGTATCTTTATAATGGGTTTTCATCTGCCTATGAAATATCTACTATAGGCCACTACTGGGGAAAAATTATCCAGATGATTGATCCAATCCGGTTCCATTAATCCTGTTTTCCTCTGTTCCTTTGTAGTTAGCTTGTCCTTAGATGACAATTTGTCCTAATGATTATAGGCCACAAGTATGCAGGTTAAAATTCAAACAGGCATCACACTGCAATGATCTCATTGCTTGTGATGTGTCCAACTTGAGGAATTCAAGCAGCATTTCAAGAAATTTGCAACTGAAAAATTCAAAAGTTTTAAATTTTCCTGCTCTTTGCAAAGGGAATTGTTTCACACAGCACTTCAGATCCAGGAAAAAATGTTTTAGAGCAACCAAAATCCTGTAGGAGGCATCAGCTGCACATGTGCTTCACTGCATCTTGGGAGTGAAAACTGGATAATCATTGAGTAATCCTGAAAAAGCAGTGCCGGTTGCTTGACTCTGTGTCTCTAGAGGCTTCAGTGCAGGACAATGAATCTGGAGAAGTAGGTCTATAAACCATTACTACAATTGTCTGCAGGTAGCAGGTATGCATGCCAGAGCCTTGGACACAATTAATAATGAAGATGGGTCATGCATATAGGTCCAAACTTACCTTTGTTGTCATTCCTTTGTCTTTAGTGGAATTGCACTAGAGATACGTTTGGCTCATTCATTTTAAATCATTGCTACTTAATTCAACATTTCCTGAGAGTCATGAACTCCCTGCCTCTACCTTCAAGGGGTTGCATGAATATGATACATTCTGCAGCATGCATACTATACTAATAAACATGGTAAGATCTTTGAATTGTTGCAGTTACAAAGCTGGTTTCTATTGGTTACAGGTTGTTTTGTAAGTAAGAACCAAAAGCTTCCTTGACTAAGAATAAAGCCCCCAGCTTCCTTACCTTGGAAAGGATGCAGAGAAGAGAGAAGAAGAGCAGCTGCTTTTCCAGTTGGCTTCTCATGCTGCCTTACTCTCTGGCACTTCAGCACATCAGTCCCCAGGCACTTTGGAGGCAGCAATGTGTTTGCAGTTTTAAAAGTCTCGGAGTAAGGTCCTGCTGGTGTTTATACTCTTCCCTGCTCTGATGTCACTCACAGGCTCCAATATAAACATGAGTAGGTTTGGACAAGCATCAAGATTTTTTTTTTCCAAACCCACATTCCAGCTGACATTTCCACTCACCTCAAGGTGAGAATGTGCAGCCCATTGAGAAAGCAAAGAGAAGGGAGATTCTCCCATGGGCTTGGAGAAGCAGCAGAAGAGAGGAGAATAGGCTGTACTAGAATGCACGAAAGTGTGCACAGCACGGAGAGATTGCAGTAGGGAATGGCAAACTGGCCATAGCTGAGGTTGGTAGGAAAGCTTCATGCTTAGTTACCATACCCTGCTGTTTCAAACTCAACATGAATAGAACCTATTTGTTTACTGAACTATTTCCCTGCAGATTTTGAATTTCTAGCCTGCAGGACTTGTTTATCCCTGGATTTGCACATTAAAAGTGATTCCACTTTTTATAAACCTTTTTCTGGAATATCTGTCCCATTCTCTCATTTCCTGCCAGTGGAAAATCAACATACACAGATAATCTGGCATCCCCTCCGAACTCCTGACCAGGACATTGGAACAACCAGAGAGGAGCCTGCCTCAGGGAATCCATCCTAGTTTTACACTGAGCCCACATGCTGGGACAGGACTTTGAAAGTGGAAAGGGTCAGGGTGCTGTGTGGTTTCTCATGCAGTACAGATATCTCAGGGTTATGTACCTCACTCATTATGGAAGTTCAGTGAGTTGCTTTAGGCTCCCAGAAACGGAGGACACAAAGTTTGCAAGGTGAGCTTCTCTCACTAATTTCAGGTTTATCTCCTCTAAGTCCAGGTGTTGTATTAAACTGGAGAACTGGTTTGTTGCAGTGGCTCACCAGGCTATTGCATGGAGCTTCTGTTGCTGAGAGAGAATGTTTAGAGGATGTGTTCAGTTTTTACTACATGCAGGGGTGTTTGTGTCTGCAAAGGGTAGGTACAAGGGGTGGCTGGGGGACTAAAATCTGGCCCTCACAGCAGTATTGCCAATCCCTAGTGTTGAAAAACGATGAGGCAGGCCCTAAAAAATCATGAGATTTTAAAGCCAAAGTTTTGGGTGCTTTTTATTTGCCTTCTGGTGTTAAAGCATTTGGGAGGTGGGGGTCACAGTCTCAAGGTTTTCTCCAGAATCACAAGAGCTAGAAACTTACTTAAAAAAATAAAAGAAAAGAAAGCTGAAATTCATGAGTCCAGGAGGTGGGGCTTTAAGAAAAATACCAACTATCTCGAGACTTGGGATAAAATCATGAGAGTTGGCAACACTGCGGGGGAGGGGGGGTACCGTGTTTCCCTTTGCCACCTCTAACAGGACCTTGCATAGAGGGATGGGCATGATGGCATTTTCTCCACAATCCAAAGGGGAGGGCACCGTACCAGGACTGGATTAAGGCAATCTGCCATAGATACACCATGACACCGAGTCCCCTGTGGCTCTAACCACATAGTTCCACTCCTGCCCCATTGACTCCACTGAGGACCATCCAGGGGTCATATGTTGCCCTCAGTCTGGTACTACTGCTAGTAGGGGACATCTCCTAAAGTCTGTATCCTACCTTTGATTGAGGAACACTGGTACAGCAGGGTTAAGAAAGGATTCCCCCCCCAATTGTATTCTGGGGTTTTATTTGTTTTGTTGCCTCCTTCCTCTGAAGCACCACAGATGGCCACAGCTGGAGATGGGACACTGGATGGGGTGGGCCGGTGCTCTGAGGTGGTACAGAGAATTCTCTCTCTCAGGTGCTGGCTAGCTGGTTCTTGCTCACGTGCTCAGAGTCTAACCGAACACCGTATGTGGGGCTGAGAAGGAATTTCCCCCCAGGTCAGACTGGCAGTGAGTTTGGGGGATTTTCGGTTTCCTCTGCAGTATGGGGTGCAGGTCACTTGCCAGGATTATCTGGATGTATTTCACCTAATAAATTCCCTGCCATTGCACAGGCATCGGACACTAGTGCACCTTGGTTCTTCCTATTCTTCTGAGGGCTGTGATATTTTGGTTGTTGGGTTTAGTGGATAGGTGCTGGGTGGTGTTGAGGTCCTGTGATACACAGACTGGATGATCTGGCCGTCCCTTCTGGCCTCAAGGTCTGTGACTCTAATTCCAGTGTGGGCTGCATGTGTTAACTACTTCTAGGTATGCCCTGTATTCCAGTCATGTTATGGAGCTGGTGAGATTTCCCCCTAGCTCTGCACCTGATGGAAACCACTGGAACCTTTATTTGTATGTCTTTGGATCAGTGTTTACTCTAAAGTGAAGTAGAGGACTAACATGACAATTAGCAGGAAAAAGACATTTTTCTTTATTTTCCTGGGTGCAAACTGTCAAAGCCCTCGTGCCATTGAGATTGCCTGAAAGGGAAGAGGAAAAATAAAAGAAACTTTTGTCACTGTAACATCAGTCCTAGATCTCTGCTCCTCTCTCTTTGCTATAAAAGCCTTCTGCATTCCTTGGTACTTGAAAGCAGATGCTACAAAGAATATACAAACAATCGCCACCAGGAACATATCTGTTCTTTAAAACTTAGAGCAGGAATGGAGGGAGTGGATCAAGAAAAGATTTAGACATTTTCAGTTACCAACTTGATTCTCCACCTCCTTATTACCCAGCTGTCTGTGGTAGTACAACATTCTAGCTCAGCAAAGCATTAATTGTAAGCAATGTGTTGATGAGACCTTGTCCTCTGTGCAGATATGACCCCACCTCCCAAAGGCTGCTGTAAAACGGTACAGAACAGAGGGCAGGAATTTCCATTATTCTGGGCAAAACCGATAGTCTCTCCACTTCAGGAGAGGATGCGTCAGACAATCAGGGTCTCTTTCTCAAATCCGTCATCACTCAGAGACGCGTTTTTCAAGTGAACTGGGCAGGCTGGGTTGAAGACCACATAGTGTCCAGTAGAGGCTTGGGCTGCACTTGTTCCAGTTATTCTTTCTCTCCTTACAAGCAGCCGGGTTACTTGGTGGAGTAAGGATGCTGCTCCATTAGCACCCTTCAGTAGAAGCTTGCAGTAAAAAGGCTTTAGCCAAGTCAAGCGTTCCCCCTTGTCTCCTGTTTCTAGCTGTCTGGAGGGAGCAGTTCTGGTGAAGCCTCAAAAGCTTCCAGGAAAACAACATGCTGTGGGCTGGAAGCTACGCTGCGCTGAGCGTCACAGGGCCCCAGGCAGGCAGCTGGAAATGGCAGCAGAAGGAGGACTCCACATCAATTACTCCCTGAGAGTTGCCGAAAAGTTGGTCTGCTCCTGGCTCAGGTGCAGTGAGTTAATTAATTCTTCCTGTCTCTCTGTTCGTTATTGGGGAGGCTGATAACTGGCAACAAGTCCAGCTGCAATAGAGAAATTAAGTTGTAGCTGCGTTAATGGAAATGCGATCTCTGCAGTACCTCTCTTCAATTAGCAGCTTCAAGAGCAACTCCTTACAATGAATCAATTAGCAGGCTGCACAAAGCCTCTGGATTTCTGACAGGGCTAAGGAGTGCTCCTGCCTCGGTATGCTAGAGTAGAGAGGCATGGAAAAGGCTGGGGAGCCAGTGAAGCTCCCCCTCCACCCATCTTCACCGTGCCACAGAGTGTAGACTCGCTATGATGCCAACAGAAGGAGGGGGAGCCTGCCCTTGTCTGTGGTAGATTTACGATCCTCTCCTGGATCAAGCGTGTCCCACCTCATAAAAGTCAGCCAATGTTCCGTGTATTGCTGTTAATGAGGAAATAGCTGTACTGTGCACAGGCGAGCTGCTGCCAGTAATACAGCCCTGTGAGCCAAGCACCCCAGCACACATTCTGGACGTTAGTGATCATTGCTACCTGCCTGGGGTAGGGCGTTGTTGCTACATAGGGAGGAAGGGAGGCACAGACAAGCAAGGTAGCTTGTCCGAGTGACTGGGAGACCTGGCAATGTGGTATGGGCTTGTGGTTTGGGCAGGGGACTGGGGCTTCTGAGAGCTAGGTTCAGTTCCTGGCTCTGTAACAGACTCTTGGTGTTACTGCAGGCAAGTCACTTAATCTCAGGTACCCCTCAGTTAAATGGGGATAATAAAGCTTACTTTCTCAGTTCTTTGTCTGGCTTCTCTAGTACGCCTGGAGGGGGGTCAGGTCTGTTTCTTACTACATGTGTGCACAGCGCTTAGCGCTGCAGGTGCTACCGCAATATAAATCATTGATACTAGCAAAACCTGGAATAAGAGTCCTGGCTCCCAGGCCCCCTGCTCTAGCCACGTGACCATGCCTGGCACTCACGATCAGGACATGTTCACTGGTGAATGCCTGACTCCAAGACACAGTGTCTTCTGTTCTCTTTATGATCATCTCCCTCTCAAGACTAACGACATATACAGTGAGCTGAACTGCAAACCCTGCTTGTGAAGCTCCTGGGTCATCTGTCGCTGGTGGATATAGGGAAATAATGCCCAGTGGATGGCAGTTTCCCCTGCTTTCTCTCTGAGCTGGTTCGCAAAGTAACATGTGAAGAGAGCCCTTCAAGGAGTAGGGAGAGTTTGAAATTGCCATAACAAGTGACGTCACTAGGAACCCAGGTGAGCTCAGGCAGTGAGAGGAAGCTGCAGCGTTAAAGAAAATAGCAAGGGATGAAGGAGGCCAAAACCACAAATCCGAGCTCAGCCAACTGCCCATACTTAGGATTTTATCAGGGCTGTTTACTGAACAAGTATCCGCAGAGGAGCCACTCCAACATCATTAGATTTCCTGGCTGCTTGGAGGGAACCAGTCCAGGGACTGGGCTTCTTCCCCACAACCCCACTGGCTCCGGTCCTTACGGAGGCTGCCGCACTGGCTGGGTTGCTTATGAGCTGGCAGAGGGAGTGAGATACATGCCGTTAACTTCCACCCAAGGTGTCAGTGAGGAGGAGGGTGAGCTGGTGGAGACAAGGGGCTGGATTGGTTCCCAGTGAAACGCCACTCAGGAGGACTCGCTGCTCCATGCTCAGTTCTGCAGAAGGGTCCCTCCAGGCACACAGGTGGTGCAGAGGCTGCCATCTGCCTGGTGCCATTGTGCCGGGGGGAGGGTGGGCTGAGCGAGCATGCAGC